CAAATGTTTTGCATTTAGAAAAAGTTTACAATGAGAATGAAAATTCTAATGCAACAGTTATGTAAGTCTTGAAGATTTTGAAAGGTATCGCACAAATTTTGCGAGTTAAAGCACCATTTATTTTTGTATAGGAAAAACATATGATACCAACATAACTATTTAGAACATTCATGGGAGTCAGGAACACTATCTCATTGAAGTATGCTTTCAAAATAACCTTGCTTCAATTAGGACTTTTAAAGGTTGTAACGTGGTCTGGTTCATGTTTTTAGAAAAAAAAGATTTAAGGCTCAAAATATTTGGTGTCCACCCCCTTCATGATGTTCTCCAATCCTATGTTTAGTTAATTCAACATGAGTGTTCATCTCTCAAGAGGATTTTGTGACGGTCAAGGAAACGACGAGGCTTTCGGAGTAGAAACCACCCTCATGTATTCGTGTTTGTAGTCACCAATTTGTTCTTTGCTGAGGACTTTTCTTTGTAGTCCTTTCTTTGCAATTTTTATTTTCCCTAACTTTTGCCTGAACTAATTCTTTTGAATTGATAGTCCAGCGGGATGCCTTAATTTTGCCTAAGTCACACGTTTTCATGTTTCTTGACTTAGCAGGCTTTTCTTTTTTCTCGATTTTTGACTTTTTGAACAAAATGTGTGACATTAGCTTGTATTTGCTTGTTGAGAGGATTGTGATTGGCTCGTTTCTTGATGAATGAGGGATAACATTGTGGTTCCACATCTTCTGGCTTCATTATACATGAAAGATAGCCCTCGTAGTTTCTCTTCAAAAAACATTTTCCTTATGAATTTCGAACACTCAGTCAGATTAACTAAAAACTACCCTGCCCCAGGTTAAAATTCAAGGTTTTTTCGTATAGAAAAAAAACTTCTGCTTCAAAGGCTCAAAAAGGGTTAGCAAGGGATTATCTTCCTTATATCTCCAGTGTTTAGGGATTTGAAACAATGCCTGTACATCATCAGCAAGATTTTATCCAAAAGCATACCAGAGATTTTGTGTTTTTCAGATCATCATCCTCCCTTCAATCTCTGCCTAGGCAAGAGAACGGGCAACAATTTGGTATCATAGTGCAAAAGCAATTTAAAATTTGAAAACAAATATGAGTGAAACGAATGAATTTCTTCAAGACAAACATACTCATTGTATTAAGAAATCATTCAGATGCAAACAAGTTCTTACATGCAAACAATGTTTTGATAAACAAGAAAAATTACAAAAAGCAGAAATAAGTTAATGATCGGGGAAGGCCTTCCATCTGGACTTGAATCACCGAAAACATCTTTCAAAACTCAAAGTGACCATCAATCGTGTTTACTCTTCGGCACGTGCTTGATTTGAACTTCAAAACCAACATCCTTGAATGACAATCAGTGAATACTTTTATCATCGCTTCCTCCTTCTTAGAAGGATTGACTTGGGCAGCAACCAAAATTTCAACCAAAACAGTTGAGTGATCCATACCAGCTTTCAAATTAGTCACCTCTCTGCGGAGTTCAAAAATCTCTTGCTTGATATTCTCCCTTGTTCTCTTAGCGTCAGTGTTGTACTGGTGAGACCAAAGAAAAAAATAAGACTTGGAAGAAGACCTTTGACAGTGAAACAAAAAATGTAGAATGATGTATGATATGCAAAAGAGAGTTTTTATTTGATTTTCAAGGAACTCAAGATATTAAGTTGGAAACATCAAAGTATGAAGATTGGATCAAAGTGTTGATCGAGTTATCATCAAGATCAATCATCCATTTTGGTGGATTAGGGTTTTCGCCCTATCGACACCCAAGATCCATTGAGCTTGACGAAACTTGTGATGTTTACAAAGAAAGACCTCCAAATTCCTTCAAAGTCAAGTGAAAAGGGTTTTATGGGTGCATGAATGCATGGCTATGCAACAACCACAAGCAAGGTCACAAATAAAGTCGAAAGGTTCAACGTCACGAGCATGGAGTCAAGGTAAGGAACACCCCCAAGGTATGTACTAACGGTTTAATCACACCTGTAGAACAAGGTTCTAAGAGTTCCCGGAGTCTACATTCCTCCTTCGGATATTACCAACGTCTTGATTACTCAATAATCAGCAATATTCTCAAGAGAAACTCATCCGAGTGTAGCATCGCGTAACAATTACTTCCGGATTACTCCGTTATAATCTCCGCGCTACACCTAAAAGGCCAAGATGGGTTAGGGTTCTACGGTTCCCAGCTTCTCTGGCTCCCAGGTCGAAAATAATAATGTCTTCCCGATTACTCGGTAAACAAATATTACGTTCAAAAGGGCCTTCCACTGAGTGGGGGATCTCATGCCTCCTTCTTCGGGATTACTCCCTCAAAGTTAACATGACTATACCGCCCGTCCTATTCCTAAGTGTAACTTAGTCCGGGTATAGGCTTGTCCTTTGTAAATATTATCAACACCCAAATAATCATAATATATACATATAATCAAACAATCAAATAATGATAAAACAGATAAAACAAATTAGGCTTAACCCACTTAGGGATGGACCAGCAAGAGGTCAATCTTTCCCCAGCAGAGTCGCCAATTCTGTAGTGGTGAAAATCGGAGATCAAGCTATTAATTAACTTGACTCACAAAAGCAAGAGTCGCCATCGCGCTTTATTATTTCCAAGGGAAAAGGAAAAGTGCGAAATAAAACCCTAAAATATGCAATGTAAAATAATACTTAAAAGTAATGAAAATACAATGCGTTTTTAAAAGAGATCGAGAGTTCGGGGGTTGGTTATACAATGGGAAGGTATTAGCACCCAATGCATCTGCGGTACTCCGCAGGAACCTTTTGAAATATCTGTTTTTGGTTAAAATTGTTTGTTTGATTAAAAATGGTTCGTTTGGCTAAAAATCGGTGTTGGAGAGATTTTGAAGATATGACGACCTAGTGTCGAAGTTTTGACTTAAAAGGTGTGAGTTTAAAAATGGAGTCTTTTGGGAGAATTATCTTAAGTTTGGAAAAATAGTAAACAAGCAAAAATGGATGAGGGCATTCGCACGCTTGTAACAAATATATTTGATGACATGAAGTCAACAAAGTTAAAAAACATTTCCCTTGGAATTAAAACCACAGACGGATAAATAAGCTAAGAGTATATCAAACCTTAGGTGAAAATAAATCACAAGTCGACAGCATCATCAAAAAAACCTAATGCGAGATAATACTCCAAGCATCAGATAAAGCGCAAAGGCGGTGGGTAAAGCTCACGGTGTCAGATAAGAATCCCTGCATCACAAGAGATATACCGACAAAATCTAACAGCACGGGAAACTTATGTGCGTCCGCACAATTTTCAGAAGTTAGTTGGAATTAAAAATAAAATCACAATGCAATGAAAATAATATCTACATAGACGGAATTTATTTACCAATGAAATGAGTAAAATATACAGTAAAACAATATTATGTACAAGTATATATTTACAGTACCAAATAAAATAAAATAATGAAATACAATAAAAGGTAAAAGGAGAAGTGTAGGAATTATGGATGCGTTGTGTGAGAATGGATACTTGAAAGGATTTTTTTTGGAAACCTTCACAGTAGCAAACGCGTTAGTAGCATAAGTGGTATAAAAATTAAAATGAATGAAATTGCAACAAGATTTGAATTTATGTTGGTCATCACGAAGTATAAAAATAAAAATGAACTTGTATGATGCATATGAACAAATGAATATTTACACAAATCAAAAATCAAGAATTCATGATATTGTTCAATGTAAACACAAAAATCAGCATTGCATTCATTATTCCAAGTGTATCAAAAGCAACCGCTATTTCAAACACAACGGAAAACAAAAATCCAAAACTCACTTTGCAACATGAGAAGTTGAATTCAAAGCATGAACCAAACACATGATGATTATCAACAATTTAAATTCACAAACAAAACCAAAGAAACTCATGCTATAATTCCATTCAAACCATGAAAAAACCAAACATTATTCATGCAAATCAAAAGTTGGACAGCAACTAAAACTTTATGGACTTAAAATCTCAAAGCGAAAATCAAATGTTCATTCCATTTATGAGTATTAAAAAAACAATTAGCATTTATTCATGTGCTACTCAAAACTTGTTCAAAACATGGAAAACCAATTGGAATTATGCCATAACTGATCAAATTGAAAAACCGGGCAGCCACTATGCAATCTAAAAAATACTTCATAGAGTTTATTGCAATCATGTTCAAAATCAACGGAAACAATAAAACTGTATTGTAATCGAATGAACCTTTGAAATCAAAACAAGTTGTTTCATGAAAATCATCCAGACCTCATTCCAATTAGCTTGAATACAACAAAACACATCATAAACTCATTCCACATTATTACCAACGAAAGTGGTGTCACCAACATTCAAACATTCAAAATCGGCCTGAATAAAAACCGAATCAAAAAACTTCACTCACATGGTATTGATATGAAACTAGACCAGTATCTACACACAAATAACAAAGTTCTGATTTCAACAAAAAAGAGAGTTATGGCAATATGAAACAGAGTTTATCGAAGCTACATATTAATCAGATCCAACTGATATTGACATCAAAAGTGTATACTCATTCAAATTAACATAATACCATTGTGGAGTCAGTATCCAATTTTAACCAAAACATCCTACTATCATCAGAAATTCGGAAATTAGTTTCTGCAGCATAACAGTTGAATATTCAAACAATCAAACACAAAAATGTCAAACCATTTTCAGATTTCTACCACGTGTCCAAACTAAACACCACTTTGAAACTCAAACAGACATGATGTGTTATGAACGAGTCCTTTGCAGAATTGAATTACTGGAAATCACACATAATCAACTAAAAATAGCAACGCAATCATTCAAACAAAAGACGGGGCATTGAAAATTACCGATTAAAGGTGAAGTTGCAACGTCAAGCTAAAGTTGACGGTGATGAATATTGCGGAGAAGCGGATTCAGAAGCTTGAGAAAGATGAAGAGAAGCGTTTTTTTTTTATCATTCCTCGATCTCTCTTGAGCGCAGCTTCTCATTTCTAATGCCAAATTTAGAGTTCTCATTCCCGGTGGCAACATAAGGATGGACCTGTGGATCAACATCAGGATTAATCCGAAGTAAAACATTCACCCTCTTTCCAGCAATCCTTGCAGCAGCCACGATGTTTTCCAAGTCAAACTCACTATCAATGTTGACAAACACGCCTGCTTCGGCAGCCAAGACAAAATCCTCCAAGATTTTCCCGTTTCCATTAAAGATACACCTTGTGGGGTCAAATCCAGCTCGAAGAGCGAGTTTAAGCTCATTTCCGCTAACAAGCACAGCACCACAACCCAAGTTCTTCAAATGCTCCAAAATCTTATAATTATTATTGGTCTTAATAGCATAACCAATAATAGACGTTAGCCCTTCCAATGCACTCTTATAAGCTTCAACGTTTCTAGTAATCTGGGGTTTACTGTATAAATAAAAAGGCCTTTTTTCAACAGATTCCATAATCTCATCCACCTTGAGACCCTCACAATAGAGATACCCATCTTTAGATTTGCTGAAACAATGGTGAAAATGAGTGTTCTTGGTGGTTTCGAGTGGGGTTTTGGCTGCGTTCTGAGATAGCACTTGTGTGAGAACACGCGGTTTCATGGTGGGTTTGGATTTGAGGGGAAAAGGGAGGTTTTGAGGTTGGCCATTTCGGGAGATGAGAATGATGAATTGGTGTTTGCTTGATGAAACGTCGTGTGGACATAAATAGGAAGGGAAATGGAAATTTTACGCTACAGTATATGGGACAAGTTGGGTGTGATGTAAGGGGTTGTTAGCAGTTTCACAACGGAAAATGGGATGGGTGAAGATTGGGTTTTGTGGAGTTAGGGAGGTAGCAGTATGGAGGTTGAGAGGAAAAGAAAGTGAGAGTGGGTTGCCACGTTGGAAAGAGAGAATTTATTATTGTGTTCCCCCCTTTACAAAGAAAAGAAAGAAGTGTTTATATAGACAGATCAAGAGGAAATTTTCACTTCTTTTTTGCAATTCATTCGCTATTTTTTCTGGATCGATCCATTACTCTCTCTAACAACCAATCAAAATAAAGCACAGTTTAACAAATAATTTTTTATGACCAAAAAGCCCCTGAATGACAAAAATAAAATAAAACCTGAAAGTATAAAAAATAACTCAATTTAAAATAATTTTTTTGAATTTTTTCTGAATTAAAAATAAAGACACAAAATGACCGAAAACAATAAAAAACGGACGAAAATTTATCCGATAAAATAAAATGAACACATTAAAATAAACTACATGTCACGAAGATTAAAGAAAAAATATTCAAGAAGTCAAAAATCAAAAATAAAATAATAATAAAAATATCAGACTAAACAGACGTTTAAGGTTAAAAACGAGACTTCGAACTGTACCGAAAAAATAAAGCGAGCATACCGTCATAATCTACGCGAAGCGCAGATTCATAAAATGATCGGTAAAAGGTGAAAACTTGAAATATTTTTCTCGCTAATTTTTCGTACATTGTTGAATCGCTTTTAACAGTTTGTCTATAAAACCAAAATATTTTTATTATCGACATATAAACAACTTGGAGCAATGTAAGAAACGAGTAAGCAGGTAAAAATGAATGATGTGAAATGCCGGGTATTTTACAACTGAAAGACGATGCAAACTTTGATTTAAACTGACTTTTTCTAATCAACTTAAATACGACTAATGATGCAAAATGTGATGAATGAAGATATTTACTAATGATCGTGACCAAATAGCAAAATATGATCTGAAAGTGCGACTAAAACATATTAGGGGCGAAATCAAGGGTGCAACAGTGTGCCTTGATGAATCAGTCTTCGAGAATCCACAATCAACCGTACTTCTGGCTTGGGAGACTCAAAACCTTAATTGAGGCGCGACACCTGATGCTCTTGATTCAGACATGTCTCTGCGCATGAAACAAAAGAAAACATGAACATACACCTTTGTATGCGATTAGAAATTAGTGATACATAGGCTAAAAATGTTCAATACACTTGACAATCTTCACATAGTCAAAGCTCGAAGGTGAGAGGTTAAAACCGACCGTATTTCGTGACCTTGACTTATGCAAAAATAAAAATGGGATCTTAGGTCAAAAATTGGGGTACAACAGCTGCCCCTATTTAAGTTTCTTCTATCTGGAGATATGAAGATTGGGATCTTCATTTCGACGAGATTGAAGGGACTTAAATATAGAATACACAATTTTTGGCCTTAAGATACCGCGATTATGTTCATGATATGATATGAATGTAATGCTCTGAATTTTATGGGGAATGACGCCATATGAGACAGACTATGCTGGAGAAACCAAGCACATTATACAGTAATCCCACGGAGGAAGAGGTTGTAACTCCACTGGGGAAACAGAGTCATAGACTTCAAATGAGAGACTCTTGAATGATTTACATCAGTGTTGATACTGGAAAAGAAATGATTTACATCAGTACTGAGACTGGAAAAGGAAGTGATGGACATCAGTACTGAGACTGGAAAATGATTGACATCAGCACTGGAAAATGATTGACATCAGCACTGTGGCTGGAAAAGAAAATGATGGACATCAGCACTGTGGCTGGAGATAAACATCTCTGATTTCTGAATTTTACCAAGAACGGTAACACATTTCTTCTTTAACCAAGATATCGCTTGAAAAGGATAAAATAACAAACTTCCCCATGGGACTTTTCCGAAGGGATGCCATTTGCTGAGTAAACATTATTGTTGGGGATACACAAGCTGCTCAAATAAAGAGGCCGCCACTTGCTTCCTTTCAAAGGTGTCAACAACATACAAGCTGCTCATGAAGAGACCGCCACTTGCTGTCTTCAAAGAATACTAAAACACACAAGCCGCTCATGAAGAGTCCGCCACTTGTTGCCAAAAACCCACAAGCTGCTCATAAAGAAGCTGCCACTTGCCGTTTTCAAGGGAACAATAACACACAAATTGTTCAAATAGATAAGCTGCCACTTGTTATCTTCCAAAATACTAACGTACAAGCTGCTCATGAAGGAGCTGCCACTTGCCATTTTCCGTACAAGCTGCTCATGAAGAGACCGCCACTTGCCGTTGTCAAAAAGTGTTGATAACATACAAGTTGTCCATGAAAAGACTGTCGCTTGCTGTTTTTGAAAAGTGTTGATAACATACAAGTTGTCCATGAAGAGACTGCCGCTTGCTGTTTTTGAAAAGTGTTGATAACATACAAGTTGTCCATGAAGAGACTGCCGCTTGCTGTTTTTGAAAAGTGTTGATAACATACAAGTTGTCCATGAAGAGACTGTCGCTTGCTGTTTCTTTTCAAAATTACCAATAACACACAAGTTGCTCATGAAGAGGTCGCCGCTTGCTGTTTCTTTCAAGGTATCAATAACATACAAGTTGCTCATGAAGAGACCGCCGCTTGATGTTTCTTTCAAGGTATCAATAACATACAAGTTGCTCATGAAGAGACCGCCGCTTGATGTTTTCTCTAAGGTATCAATAACATACAAGTTGCTCATGAAGAGACCGTCGCTTGATGTTTTCTCTAAGGTATCAATAACATACAAGTTACTCATGAAGAGACCGCCGCTTGATGTTTTCTCTAAGGTATCAATAACATACAAGTTGCTCATGAAGAGACCTCCGCTTGATGTTTTCTCTAAGGTATCAATAACATACAAGTTGCTCATGAAGAGACCGCCGCTTGCTGTTTGTCAAGAGTATCCATAACACACAAGTTGCCTCATGAAGAGACCGCCGCTTGCTGTTTGTCAAGAGTATCCATAACGGAAATATGAAATTAGTGATCAAACTATTGAATACTAATGAGAATCGAAGTTACTAATTAAAATATTGAATATTAACGGGTACATGAAGTTATTGATCAAATTATTAAATATTAACGGGAACATGAAATTACTTATCAAAATATTAATATTAAAGAAAATATTAAATTACTGATAAAAAATATTGAATATTAACGGAAACATAAAGTTCCTAATCAAAATATTATATATTAACGAGAACATGAAGTTACTGATAAAAATATTGAATATTAACAGAAATATTAAATTACTGATCAAAATATTGAATATTAACGAGAACATGAAGTTACTGATAAAAATATTGAATATTAAGGGAGAAAAATGAAATTACTGATCAAAATAATTAATAATAACGGTAACATAAAATTACTTATCAAAATATTTAATAATAACGAGAACATAAATTTATTGATCAAAATATTGAATAATAATAGAACAATTTTACTATTAGTTAGGGATGACAACGGGGCGGGTTTAAGCACACCCAGACACGCACCCCCCACTCAGATCCAGATCCGCTTCCGCTCTCAAACCTGGCCAGACTAATATTTGTTCCCCGCCCCCGCCTCCATTAAGAAACGAGTTTCTCGGCACCCGCCCTACACCCACCCGAATAAATATTTCTTTTTTTTAAATTTATACTTTTTTCAATAAAAATAAAAATCAATAATTAAATTTAATAATTATTTATTTTAAAAATATTTTTTATATTTGATATTTTTATTTAAATTGTATTTTTTTAAAAAATTAATAATTATAATAAATATAATATTATAACATTAAAAAGTGTAAATGAGTAATAAAACTATTAAAAATAAATGAAATAAATGAAATTTAATTGCCGGATGCGGGTGCAGGACGGATAATAACATCATCCGTCCCTGTAAATAAAAATCAAGTTTTCATCGCACCCGCATCCACCTCCAATCAAACTAAATTTCCCCGCTACTTTCGAAACGGAAACAATCGGAGCCCAACATAAACGAGTTTATATGACATACCTATTATTAGTTTACATATTTTTTTACAACAATTTCAAAATAATAATAATATTTATACAAAAAATTATTTATTAATTTAAATATTTTTATATATTAAAAAAATTATAGGCACATCATATAATTTTTTAAAAAAATATTTTTTGAAATAAATATCGGTATATCCCACTAATATTATATTTATGTCAATCATCACCTAAAATCTACACAATTTCAACACGTCACACTCTTATGTGTCAAAGTAGCAAGTACCACCCACGTCCTTTGCCGCGTAACCCTTGGCACTTATATCATCAACATTTCTTGGTTGGTTCAAATCAACTTCTATGAATAAAAATAGTACTCCCGATACATTCTTCAATATACACTTTCAACATTTTTCCTAATCTAAATAGGCCTCATTTGTATAGAAACTACCACTATAGTCTATAGGAATTTATAACCAATAATGAGTATTCAATATCACTTTAACTTTCTATATTCAACTCTTGTACACAACATTAAAACGTGTCTTTAAGAACCATAACAATTAATACTCTATCATTCAAACACAAATTTCATCATCATTTTCATTGATGATGATCACAACAAACCATTGCCAGACCTTATTTTCGTTTGCCTGTCTGTCGTGTTTCTTTTGTTTCTGCTCAGAATTCTCATGTGCCGCTTCAACTTCCAGAGTCAGTATCAAACATGGTGATTTCATCAGAGACAAAGAAGGCGAAGTTTTAGTCTCCAATGGCTTCAACTTCGTAGTGGGTTTCTTCGGTTTTCAAAACTCTTCTTCTCGTTACGTTGGTATTTGGTACTACAACATTCCTGGACCTCAAGTTGTTTGGGTTGCAAACAGAAACAAACCCATCAATGGTAACGGTGGATCCATCACTATATCTACAAACGGCAATTTAGTCATTCTTGATGAAAACAAAACACAACTCTGGTCTACCAATGTTTCCATCATTGACAGCAACAAAAACAACTCCGAAGCTGTTCTTAAAGATAATGGTAATCTTGTTCTTTCAAATGGGAAAGTGGTGTTATGGGAAAGTTTTGAAAATCCAACTGATACTTATCTACCTGGTATGAAAGTTCCTGTGAATGGGAAGAGCTTTAACTTCACTTCATGGAAATCAAGTACAGATCCTTCATTAGGGAACCATACAATGGGAATTGATCCAGAAGGGTTACCACCACAGATAGTAGTTTGGGAAGGAGAGAAAAGAAAATGGAGAAGTGGTTATTGGGATGGTAGAGTTTTCACTGGTGTTGATATGCCAGGTAGTTTTCTTCATGGTTTTGTTCTTAATTTGGATAATAATGGAGGAGATAGGTACTTTGTTTATAATAATAAGTTGTTGTTGAATGGTACTAGTTCTGTGAGGTTTCAGATTGGTTGGGATGGTTATGAAAGAGAGTTTATTTGGAATCAAAATGAGAAAAATTGGACTGAGAAACAAAAAGGGCCTCATAATGAGTGGGAGGTTTATAACTTTTGTGGTGGTTTTGCAGCTAGTGATTTGTTGGTTTCGGGTTCGGCTACTTGTAGTTGCTTACAAGGGTTTGAACTAAAGGATAAAGGGAATTTGTCAGGTGGATGTAGGAGGATGACAGCATTGAAGGGCGAACAGAAGAATGGTAGTTTTGGAGAAGATGGTTTCATGGAGCTTAGGTGTATGAAGTTACCCGATTTCGCGAATTTGGTGGTACATACTACGGATTGTGAAGGTGATTGTTTGAAGAATGGTTCTTGCACTGCCTATGCAGAAGTTATGGGAATTGGTTGCATGGCTTGGTATGGAGAGTTGGTAGATCTTCAAAAGTTTGAACATGGAGGGAATACATTGCACATTCGTCTTGCTCATTCTGATTTAGTTAATAACAAGAAGATAGTGATTCTGATAATATCAGCTGTTCTAGCAGGGCTAATCTCTCTAGGAATGTTTGTATGGTTGGTACGGATGAACAAGAGAAAACTCAAAGGTGAAATATTCATATTCGTATTCATATTGGTATTCATATTCATCGTATCGAACCTATCTTTTACTATAAGATGGTAGAAAAAAATGTAACTGAATTGCTTTTCTGATATTAACTTGTGTATATATTTTTCTGATTTGCTTCTCAGTAGTTTCTACTGCTTCGCCTCGCAAAAATAGTGATATAATACCAATGTTTGATGCAAGAAAGAGCAGACAGATGTCTGCAGAATTATCAGGATCAATTGAACTTAGTTTGGAAGGCAATCAACTAAGTAAAACTAAGATTCCATTTTACAATTTTATTTGCATGTCAGCAGCAACCAACAATTTTTCTGAAGAAAATAAGCTCGGACAAGGTGGTTTCGGTCCTGTCTACAAGGTGAAAACACAATGCTTCTATATTTCAACATATCTTTTATTAATTCATGGCTTAATAAAATGATCTAATGGAAATTTGCTGTTTCATTTATCAGGGAATGCTTCCGACCGGAGAAGAAATAGCTGTTAAGAGGCTTTCGAGACGATCGGGCCAAGGTTTAGATGAGTTCAAGAATGAAATGATGTTGATAGCGAAATTACAACATAGAAATTTGGTTAGACTAATGGGATGTTCTATTAAAGGGGAAGAAAAGTTGCTTGTATATGAATTCATGCCAAACAAAAGCTTGGATTGCTTTTTATTCGGTGTGTTTCTTCGCATTAACCCTGCACATTTTCTTATTGCATTTTTATGATTAGTGTAAAAATAGATTATAATCACATTTTCTTAACAAATTTGAGTTTTCTTGATGCAGATCCTATTAAGCAAACACAATTAAATTGGGCGAGACGTTTTGAAATCATTGAAGGAATTGCAAGAGGACTACTCTATCTGCATCGTGATTCAAGACTTAGAATTATTCATCGTGATCTAAAAGCAAGTAACATTTTGTTAGACGAAAACATGAACCCAAAAATATCAGATTTTGGCTTAGCCCGGATATTCGCTGGAAATCAAAATGAAGCCAATACAACCAGAGTGGTTGGTACATAGTAAGTATTATTTGCTTTCGTTTCTATGTTCATTTTTTTCTCGGTGTTGGCTAATATCAAATAACTCTACCACATGTAGTGGTTATATGTCTCCTGAATACGTTATGGAAGGCCTATTTTCAGTCAAATCAGATGTATATAGTTTTGGTGTATTGCTACTAGAGATTGTGAGTGGCCGCAAAAACACTAGCTTTCGTCATTCAGATGATTCGAGTCTCATAGGTTATGTGAGTATATCCAATATAGCACATCACTTTTTTAATTGAAATGTGAAAAACTAATACTTTTATGATGGAATGGGTGAAGGCATGGCATCTTTGGAACGAACATAGAGCAATGGAACTTGTTGATGGTTGCATTCGCGATTCTTGCCCTAAAAACAAAGCATTGAGATGCATACACATAGGGATGTTATGTGTGCAAGATTCAGCAGGTCATAGACCAAACATGTCGAATGTTGTGTTGATGCTTGAGAGTGAAGCAACAACTCTTCCTTTACCTGTGCAGCCTTTGGTTACTTCCATGAGGAGTTATGAAGACAGAGAATTTTACATGGATGGTCTTGATGTTTCAAATGATCTCACGGTCACGATGCTAGTAGGGAGATAGAATTAATTAATGCACTTTATGAGTCATTTTTGTTTTCACACGACTCAGTTGTTATTTTTCTCCTTTTTGCCTCTTGAATTGAAACTAGATAACCTTGAAAGTGATACATTGTGTATAGATTAATCTGTAATGTTTTTCTATAGAATACTATCAATTTGTAATTTGAGACTTTTCAAATTCCCAAGTCAACGATAAAAAGATGAATTTGACTTAATTCAAGATAGGAAAGCAATATAGAATCTTCATTTCTTAGGAGAGATTACATATATAAATTCACATTTTATATAAATTCACATTTTTTATGATGTAGGAAGGCTGTCTGTGTTTATCGGAGAAGAAATCGCGTGTCAGAAAGATTTAACAATATTTGTGTAGATTTGATATCTGATGTCAGAATGGTTATTATTATTATACCTTTCAGATCCAAATATAACATTTTAATATTTTATGCAATTTTTTTGTTTTATTTCTGTTTTGGATCAATTTGTATTGACTTCATGAATTTATGTGAGAATGTTTAAGATAAAAATCGATTACCTTATATCCTATTGTAAGCATAATATTTTTTTTCAAAAATCATATTTTCAAACCTCAATATTTGATCTCTTAAGTTAAATATAGAAGTAAGAGAAATTTAAAATTAGAAAATTAGTCTTCGTGGGAATGATAAAAACTTTTATATTATTTCAGTATTGTCGTATATTTGTGGCGTATCAATCACCTTCGAAATGGGATCATCTTCAGATTTGTCCATTTCCACGATTCTAACTGACAAAAGGATATGCAACAAGTTCGATGGATGTTCTACTCTTTTTTATAAATGTATCTTCAGGAAGTTGAGTGTCTGACTTTCCTTAAATGCTTTTGAGACGGAGGTACTGAACCACCTTCACATTGTAATTTATTGTTGCTCCTTGTTTTGTATATTATTGGATGTTTATCACCATAATTTACTTGGTGTGCTTAGCTCATACCACTTTATGTAGGATCATAAAGGACCGTCTACAGTTAAGATTCAGAACCTTGTTCATGTTCACAGATTATGATCCGGACCAAGGTGTACGCCTCTAGACTCTACCATCTACGCTCTTGGAATGACTATCTCCTAAGAGGGTGTGCACCAGTTGCGCTGAAAAGTGCTTAGCCTTTTTTGCCTTTGTTTCCTAGGGGGAAAGAGAGAAATAAATAGACGTGATAATGGAAAAAATATCATTATATTTTGAAGTTTATCAATGTGTTATAAAGAGAGATAGTTCCTTTTAACTGTAATATCGCTTTAACTTTGTAACTTTCCAAATTATGTGTATATGACCAGTGGTTTTTACACCGTTATTTACCGTTGATTTTAGTTATTTTTTCTTTATTTTGTCTAGCGCTTTATTTCATTTCTCCATATTTTATGCATTGGTTGTGTGTTTTAGTGTTTGTAGGCTCAAAGGAATAAATCAGGACAAATCATGCAAAACTCAAAGTTTTGGAGGAAGTGAAAAAATCATGTTACAGTAGGCCTGACACGGCCACTCGCGTTACGTGACATGGACCGTGTCAGGATGATAGGTGTTGCAAAAGTGAGATGCCAGGGGGCTAACACGGGTGGTTGTGTCACCTGACACGGGCCGTGTAAGCAAGTTTGGGAGCTAAAAGTTGACGGGACGAGGTAGAAAGCCAACAAGGCCACCCGTGTTGTCTGGCACGGGCCATGTTGCCCAGTGACGCTCTTTTTCCTTGTTTTCCTGATTTTTCACTATGTGTGACCCATAGGGGTATTTTGGGCATTTCTGACCGAGACCATTGAATTTTCATTATTTAGATGAGTTTTCACGATGAGTTAGAGGACTTTTTGCCAGCGGATAATTTTGACGATTGAAGAGAGCAACATATGAGATTATTGGAGGATGGAGATTTTGAGCCAACGCAATTGAAGATCAAAGTTCATCATTTATCTGTAATGTCTAAATTTTATGTTATTGAAATTCTTTTGAACAATATGAGTAGCTAAACCCCCAAATGCTAGGGGGTGTCCCTGATTTGATTTTGTAATGACTCTGAATTCCTAATTTCAGTATTACAATAGTTTTTCATATTCGATTTAATTGTACAAGGTTTTTATTGCTTTCTTTATCGGACCAAAAATGATTTATTTACAGTTAACAATCAGTTGGACTGCGGTTGTTAAGGTTTTTGTACAATTAGACTATAATAGATATCACCTGGGACGAGGGACACCATATATGTTACAGGTTAATTCTTGATAATACCAATGTTTGATTTCATCATAATTCTCTAAGGACTTAAGATTTAGGATGAATGTTCAAAGGTTTTTCCACTAAGAACTTAGGGGGAAATAAACTAAAGATCTGCTAATTGAGTATTTTGAACTTGTTGAAGAGATCAACATTCAAGGTTTTTATAGAGAAAATCATACACTTTACCCTAGCATGCTCCTCATATCTGTGAAAAAGTCAATTTATTATTCCGCTTATTTTTACTTATTGTTAAGAGATAATTTCCAAACAAAACCCCAATTTAAGTTTTTGTTTAATTTAACCACACATTAAACTCGATATCGACGCGCAGTCCTTGAGATCGACATTCAAGGAATTTCCCTGTTATTACTATATAGGAAAAATAGTACACTTACTATTTTACCGATCAATATATGTTATCCTACAAGGGTTTCCAATACATAGGCTCCTTTATTGATGTTGTCTTGTGTTTTCTATGGTCCTTCCTAATTTGTTGTCATCTTGCCATTTCGTGTTCCTCTTTTCAATGTCGGTCTTTGTAGTATCAGATCCCATGTCTAAAACTCCCTTGGTATGACATGTCAGTTATATTTAGAGGTCCTGGTTTGCTTTTCTATGATGTTGGTGAGGATGGAAAATATAGTGGTAGAAATGTTGAGACTAAGTCATGGAATTTACTTAACTCGCACAAATCAAATAAAAATCACCACTGCGCCTTATTGTTTCCAAAGGAAATGGAGAAAGAGCGAATAAACCAAAAAAAAGGGGAGAGAATCTAGGTACGGGGATTGGTTATGCAAAGGAAATGTATTAGCATCCTAATCATCTACAGTACTCTTCAGGAACCTCATTTAAATTTGTGTATTTTGGCTATAAATGTTGTATACAAAAATAGATTATGGAGATGAGAAAAGAAGTATTTTTTTACAATTTTTGCGCTCGTCGCGGTTGCAAACCTTTAGTGCCTACGTACCATCTTACGTGAAATAGGGGATCAGGGTGCTCGTAGTTCACTTCAAAAAATTTAAAACACAAGTGTGTTGGTTAATTTTAAGAGAAGAGACGTTGTCGTCATATCTGAGTGGAAAACATACTAACTACCCACAATTATGAGAAAGGAGAATTTTCATCATCTCAAAGTGGAAGATATAGCTTGGATTTTAAAATCAACAAAGCCTCACTCAACACCCAAGTAGAAAATATCTCACTTCACTATATATAGTAGAAGTATAGTAGCTCGCATCACTACAAGAATCGGCAAGAGTTTAATCTTTCGAGAAAAGTTTTAAAGTAAAAAGCCAAAGTTGCAAAAATGGTTTGAATGAGGTTGATTGAATTTTAGTCCTCTCAAAAAAATGTCAAAGTATGATTAAGTTGGTAAAATTTTAAGAAAATATTTTTGAAAATGCATGGACCTAAGTCCAAGTTTATTATGAAAGTGGTTCAAGTTAGAAAACAAGAAGAGTTTTGAAAAGGAGGGAGAAGATTTTTGAAATTAAAAAATATAGGAGGACATTAAGGGACTATCCTAAAGCATAAGGTAAAATCTAAGGGAAATAACGATCTAACCAACAAGAAGCTAACACTTTACATAAATAAGTCAATATAGAATTATCATCCTTTGGATTGAAACCAAGCAAGCAAAAAATACTAAACCTCTTAGGAATACCAAGCTTCAGATGAATTAAGTCTTCACAAAAATTGGGCAGAGTAACGACTGTATACAAATGAATTCTCAATCACAGACAAAACACATAATCAAAATAACCTACACACAAAGAAAATCAACTCAATGTCTTGGGGTAAACCGTAAGAACTCTAGACAAAATAACAACAGAATCACAAGGTCCTAAGGGTAATCAAGGTTTATAATCCCAAGTCCAAGAGGTCCATAACTCCATAATGTCAAGGATAGTAACCAAATAGTCCAAGTAACCTTAAGGCTTTTAATGTTCGAGTTAGTTATTAAGTGTCTTTAAAAAGAAAGTGAAAGCTCAAGTGAGCAAAATAAAAATGAGATAAAGATAAATGCTCAAGTGAGAAAAAATGAAAATAGCATGAAATATAAATGCTAAAGTAAATGATACATAAAAGTAAAGGCATAAAAAAAGCAAAAAGTAAAAACACAGAGTAAAGTCAATTGTTAGTGAATTAGAAGTTAAAGGTTAGTTGGATGACCATCTTGGAACTTGCATTTGAAAACTCATTAGAAGATTGATAAAATTAAATCTTCTCAACAACAAGTCTCATTTGATTTTCATCAAGTATATAATTCATTTCAAATGCTCAAGGCAATCACATATGATCAACGATTTTTAAATGATCCACTTAGACCAAAGTTCATGAAAGTTCATTAGAGGATTGATAAGATCAAAGCCTCCTAACAATGAACCTCAAGGTTATTGGATCAAAGGTTTCAAATTAACATGCTTGGGCTTGCAAACACAGGTTTGGGCCATGAATGATCATTTTCGAATCAGGAAAAATTTAGCGCTATGTTAAGCAATCCTAAGTGGACTTATATAGAAGACACACCTATTTTGAGGCCGATCAATAGCAATCTATATACCACATGTTAGAGAAATGATATGTAGATCATTTTCCAACAACATTTAGCACAAGTAAAAAAGGGATAAGATGAAGTAGGAGGGGATGTATTAGATGAAATTAGGGTTTCAAATACCATCAATATCATTCATCCATTTTGGTGGATTTAGTTTTTCAACCTATCAACATCCATTGTCCAATGAGGTT